GCTCGACATATGTTGGCGGGTTTTCACAACACTTTGCGATAGCTAATTTCGGTGTCAATTGGGGGAGACATGAGCATGATTGAGTTTTGAAGAGACGATAATGGATGTAATGGATGTAATGGTGGTGCTTGTGGTGGAGAGTGGTTTTCAACATGTTTACTCTGCCATAACGACGTGTAATGTATTTAAGATAAATTTTTACATTAACCATTAAGTAGGAAATGTACACCTTTTTTATTATTTTTCGAATCTGCGTTTGCCGCTCTGTCAAAACGTGAAACGTGATCGAAACTTTCGGCAGATGCTGCACGCTGACCAATGATCGCGTTTCACGGTAGTAATTATGCGCATTAAAGGTAAGCGGCAAAGTGAACGTCTGCGGAGGGGGCTTGTTTTTTATACATCAGGACATTTTCGTCTCTAGACGCAAGTCTAATAGTTTCAACTGAATATTTACCGATCTTATCGCTTTTAAAACAACCAAGAGATAAGTTATAAATAGGTCGTTTGTGCGTGTGTGGTCGGTAATTAATTGTGTACTCAGATTTTAACGTCGTTGTTCGTTTAAGAATAAATTAATAATTTATTGCGTATTATTTTTGCAAAACCAGCAATTGTAAATTTTATTCAAGTTTATGTTTTGATATCAAGTCGTGACGACTAGGCAGGCATAAATATTTGCGACAAGAATAAGATATTCATTACGCAGAGATAAAAACTGTTAAGGTTTGTAGTTGTTGTTCTTTTTTTGTTTGAAATGAATCATGTTAAAATTTTGGTTTTTATTCTAATAACTGTTGGTATCTTAAATTCTAAAGAAAATTACTTGAAGATGTTGTGATTTATATCAATCGATCAAATGAGTAGGTATCTATACCATTTTTTCTGTTTTTGGCGTCAACTTTGAAAATTACAAAATTTGGTGCCAAATTTATACAAATTAATTAATTTTTGCGGGTATGTTACTTACGTTACGTTAAGAAAAAAAGTTTGTAAAATTATGGAAAATTAAAAAAGTCCAATGTAACTGCGAGTAGTTATGTACTTGTTTCATGGAAATAGGTAAGGGTATACCTATACACTTAATTATTCATATTAATTGTTCTCAAACATTAAGAGCGTTCCTTATTTGTGGATATTTTTTTTTATCCACATTTTTGGCGACTTCTTACTGTTTATTCCTCCAACAGCAGTTTTAATTTTTAATTAGGTGTTTTTCACTTTTAAATAGCGGTGTTACTGATTACTGTAAAACACGAAAATTAAAAAAAAATCATTTCTGCACCACCACCTTTTCGCTATTGTTTAATTTTATTAAGACATTTTAAAATCATTTAAATGAAGTATTTGATCATTGAAAAATAATCAATTATTTGAAACGTTAAAAAACATTCTTGTTATAGATTTTGTGTATCAATGGATATAATACCAAGTTTACGAATTACAATATTAAATGATGTATCATCACTGAGAAGATAAAAATATTTTGTGTTTAAAGAGCTTAAATAACTCTATTCCCTTTGAAAAAAATTTACATCGGTTCTAGAAAAATCAGGGGTGATACGTATTCGTACAAAGAGATTTTTTTATAATTGACCATTCCAAATTTTAAAAGTATTCTCTTAATATATTGAATACATTTATGCTTTATTTAACCGTTATTTTTGTAACCTGTGAACTCTTAACTAATAAGTCAAATCTTAGTATGTTTACCTTTTAATGTGTTATTAAATAATTTATTTTTCAAAATTTTCTCGTAACAGCCTTTTAAAAACAGTAGACGTATTTAACTTCTTATTTGTTTTATTTCTTAAGTTCGCATTCTTTTTGTTAGCGAAAAAAGTCTTATAGAACTTACAGAGATTTTGGCACCTCAGTATGAAATTTAGCTTCTAGTTGAAAAGGGATTCATATCAATGTCGTTCAAAACGAATTTTATTTCACTGTTTATTACACTTACACACTAACAACATTTACCAAAACCACAAAACCATTTCATCTACACAACACTAAAAACATAATCTCAAAACCAGCAACAAAATGAAAGCGACGCATTTAGCAGTTATTGTTCGCCAGAGCAACAATGCAGTTCCGATTTCCCACATTTTTTTTCCAAGACGTGTAGTTTAACCTGAGCGATAATAACAGTCGCTATCTGTACCGATGTCGGATGTTAAAAATATATAATCCTAGTTCAAACATAGCCTCAAGATGCGGAGTATCCTGGTCTAGGCCCAGGACAATACACATGTTGTCAGGTGCGTTAGATCTTATCACGAATAAATAAGCCGCCTCTTCTCATCTCACCGCCCGTTAATCCGTTTGATCAACGATTGCCCTTATCGCATTCACACAGATATACGGGCTAAAATTTTTTCATATTGATACACACTTAATGAAATCCTAGAAAACGTTCGCCTTTGTATTGTTTCCGAGAAGAGTATTTGTGTATCAAAAATGAACGCGGAAAGATGTTGGGAAAAGTTGACGTTACCTTTTAACCATTACGTGATATTTCGAATATACGTACAAAATTTGACAACAATCGGTCTGGTAGTTTCGGAGATTACGTGTCCAATGAAAATGGGTACAGACGCCAAACAGACAGATAGGCAGACGGAAACGAGAGACTATTTTTTTCGTACTCTAGGGGTCATGAAACTTCGAGAAAACATAAAAATGGCCATTCGTCCGATGTTACTCTACTTTTTTAGCTTACGCTTAGGAAATAAAAATCTCTATCTCTAAATTAATTTTGTAGGGCATATTTAACATTTTCAAATAAATTTAGTTATGGAAAAAGAATTCCTCAAACTAAACGATAGAAGAAAAAAATTAACTAAATTGTTGAAGTACTTAGTTGCAATAACTTTTTTGTGCTCATATTGAGAAAATGGTGAATTTTTACTGCATTTTGGATTGAGAAAATTGATCATTTTTCAATCTATTGAATAATGAGCACTTTTCTCCACAGCTTTTGTCCAATCAGAGCGCGACATTTCCTTTTCTCCACAGGTCGCCACTATCACCCCTAATAAAAATTGAACTCGTCCATGTGTTACCCTGGTTATGTTTTGCTTACACGTCATCATTAGGTAATGTTAATGAAAATAATTCTTGATTTTTTTGTCTTTACTTTCTTGGTTATGTTACGATATACGGGCGAATACAAATTGGCATGGGTAAAACTCAACAATTGATTTCTTACTAACTCGAATATACACGACTAATAACTACTACAGCGATTATGTACAAACTAACTTCGGTGTAACTTGTCTGGACACTCGCCTACGTCACCGCTTCTGGACTTCTTTGGAGTCCCCATTTGCGACTTCCGTTTCCAGGCGTTTCTTTAGCGCTCCGTCGCTCAGTCGTATTGAGGACGAATTAAAAAATTATTTTAGTTATTAGTATTTCAAAAATTTACAAGAACAAGTTTCCCAAGAACAATTTTATTTAATAAGTATTAAAAATATGATAATATAAGTATTTGTTTAACACGAAATCTTTTTCGGCAAATTTTTATAAAACAACTATAAGCTACACAAAAAGTAAATGAAAATGCTTTTACATTTCGCAGAATTAACTCCTAAAATTACTACAAAAATTTTGCAAGCAGAGTGTTCTATACTTTGATGGCAAATAGCGCAGATATTCAAAACATAAACATATAGGCATGTTTTGAACGTCTGCGCGATTTCTTGGGCACTTTACCATCAAAATATACAATATTTTTCCTGCAAAATTTTTGTCAATCACACAAAACTAATATGAAGTTCCACAACAGGAATTCGTTATCTTGGTGAAGCTGAAGTCTTACAACAAAGTTAATAAATAAGGATATTAAGAAATGGTAAGAAATTAGAGAAATGACATGTGATGTATATATAGACCGTATCGAGGACATAATAAGCTTCCGAATACATTTCAAGACATGTTGGAAGAATTATGTACATAATACAAATTTAGATTAGTAATTTTCCCGACATGTAGATTATTAAACATGTTTTACATTTCAAGGAGAACTGCCCAATAATTCTTAGATCATTTCTTAGATTTAAAAACTGAAAAAACACTGGTAGACACGAAGATTATTTGTCTAACAGACAGACAACGACGAACGACAGACAGACCATCAGACAGATGAAAAAGAAATTCTGTTTGGTTGACTGTTTAATAGTGATAACAAAGGAGCAGAGATTGAAAATTAATTAAATAAATAAAAAAGGTCAAAATGAGAAACAGAATAAACAACTGTCACATATCTGGTATTTCAAATTATGGTGTTACCTAGATAAAACTGGTAAATACTTGAAAATAACACTCTGAAAAGGTTGAGACGCCGAAAGAATTATAAGAACGCAACTTACTAAGGCTAAATTTTTTTCAGCTACTACTGAAATTAGAAATAAAATTGTTAAAATACCATGAAGAAACAGAAGAAGAGGAAATTACATCTGTGAAAGTGCACTTGCGATGAGCGATTATTCTGCTTTCATGTTAAAAGGATCTACATTCTCATTATGACACCTTGAAAGAACTGTAAGAGATCCAACAGATTAAGACCAACTTGTTTCATCTCCCACTGAAATTAGAAAACAAGTTGAAGAAGATGAAGAAAATATGCCTGTGATTGTTCATATGTGAGTGATCGCTCTGGTATCAAGTTAAGAGATTCTACATTCTTATAATTAGGTGAGTATATAAGAAAGAAATAGGAGTATAAATAACAGAATAAAAGGCAAATTGTTTGAAAGCATTTATTAAGGAATTAAAACCCTTACTTCAAGCTATCATTCAGCTTCATAACGCGATGTTGCCATTTCGTTTTAATAATTGAATCGCGTAAGAGCGAAACATAAGAGACTGACAACATTATTTCTGTAAAGAAAGAAAATGTTGAATTAAGGAACTTTTCTGCGAATTGTAGAAGCATTTTTTTTGTAGTAGTAGACGATTTCCCTCATTTGCCGCTCACTGATTCTGGAAATTTGTTATAGGGAAAACAAGAACGAAGGACAAATACCGAGTAGTATATACGGACCTCCAAAGGATAGAATTAGAAAAAGAATTCACTTTATTTAATCGTTACATAACAATCAAACGAAAATCGGAACTAGCTACTACTTTGGGTTTATCAGAGCGTCAAGTTAAGATCTGGTTTCAGAACAGACGAGCGAAAGAGCGGAAACAAGCGAAGAAGCGTGTTGAAGAGAAACAGCAAATGAACAGTCTTTACCAGCAAAACCTCTTACAGCAGCAGCAACAACAACCACAACCACCGGGTCAGGGGCAACTGATTGTGGGTTTTCCACCCCCAGCGCCGTTTATGATGCATTTACTAAACGATAATCCCATAAAAACTGAAAATAGTGATGGTGGTGATTTAGATAATGTTGCATAAAACCATTTAGTGATTATGCCACTTTCTCAAACCGTCCCATTAAAAGTGCAATGTTTTATGTGCAATTTCGTTAACGCAATAATTTTAAGGTGCATGACTTTTGTTCTTGATAGCTTTTATTTGTATTAGTATAATGTTTGTCTCAATTGGCACAAAATTCTTTAAGGAAATTTTATCTACAAGTATAGTTATATTTAGAGTCTTATTGCATTTCACAAAAAGCACACTTATAAATAACTAAACTAAAGCAACATTCTTCCCACATCTTGCATTAAGTTTTGAACTTTATAAGTAAATTTTGCTTCTACTTTATATTTTAGATTACGTCCAACTAAATTATGAATGCTTCTGCAAAGATTTGATTTGTAAGATATTTCGGTTCAACCATTTTCAAAAACTGAACTGTCAGTGAAAATCTTTTATTTCCAAAGCTCCGTTAAAAATTCATAATAATCGCGCATTTTATCTGCTTTAAATTTTGTGCCAAAATCTTTGAGAAATACATACGTGGTTTTCGATCTCACTTCGATTTTTAGAGAAACGCTTAGGCATTTCATCGTTCAATCTCAGGTTTTAATTGCTGATGCTAGTTTTAAATTAGTTCAGATTGTAAAGATAGATATATATTATATTGTATTATATTAATAAAGAGTTATTATTTTGTAAAGTGAATAGATATTTGTTTGAATCTTTTAATATGATATCCTTTCATTTTTTTAATCAAAATTGTTTTCTTTAAAAAATCTTAAGGTTTTGCAGACTGAAATCAGTATTATCCGTTTCATATATTTACAACAGTCTTCTGGGTACTTTTTAATTATGGGGTCGCTAGTTTATCCGGCTGCAGTTAGTTCTTGATTTCCCTTTATCTATATGTTTTAATAATATTATGTTGATTTCTATTAGTGCCAGTTGTTTTCTAAAAGACTATTAGTTAGGGAGAAAAGTGTTCTTAAGTAGAGTGTTCTTACAGAACACTGCAAGACGAGATTAGGCACAACTTGACCTTAACTTAAGACGATAGTTGGCAACAAAATAAACTCAGGATACCTAGGGCGCTCTCTGAAACATTTGCCTGTGATAGGTTAGGAATTAAAAATTAAATCGAGACTCCACAGATATAATTTGGATGATTTAATGTAAAATACGGGACATGTTTCGAAGACCAGCTGTCTTCGTCTTCAGCCTAATTTCTTTAAAAATTTACTCCAAAATGAGGCCGAAGACGAAGACAGCTAGTCTTCGAAACATGTCCCGTATTTTACGTTAAATTATCCAAATTATATCTGTTCAATTCCTAAGAACCGTTTCACACGGGACTAATTTTTGTACTAAATTGTATATGCGATAGAATGCGCGCCTGCTTGAACTTAGAACTGGTTCCTTTTTGATTAAGCTTCACTTGTTGGACCAAAAACCTATATTTACCTCTGATTATTTCGTTAGTTGTGCGATAATTTTAAATCTTAGTATGTGCCAACAGTATGTTGTCGATGATTATTTATACCGCGCCCTAATTTTTCAGAAATAACAATTTTTGGTTAAAGTTCCCTATTAGTTTGATGATTTTTTTTTGTACAACTTGTTCGATTCTTTTCTAGTTTAAACGGGTTTTTACATCAAAATAACCTTAAGTAATAATGACGTATCCACAACGATTTAGAAGAGTAAGTATAATAATATAGGTATACCAAGAATACGTAGGTACATTAAAAAATTTCAGATTGAACAATATTTTTTAATGTTTAGTTAAAACTCCACTTTGTAATCGTCGGTTCATCGAGAACACCATTATTATTGTATACAGGATCTTCCCATGCCTGTTCTACTGCTTTCCAAAATTCCTCTTTATTTTGGGGTCAAAAATATCTTGGATTTAGTTTCTTTACTATCCCTGCCCATACATATAAGTATTTTGTATAGGATTAAGGTCCGGAATTCTTGTAAGTCGTGAAACCGACAATCGACACCATTTTGCCGATACCTTTTTGACAGGATACGTATCGAAATTTCTTCTCTGATTTTTTTTGTCCTACTTTGGGGGTGCCACATGCGTCCAAACTGGGACCGCTGCTTTTCTTGTTATATACCGGCGACATTGTAAATGTATTGTCTTGTCTGAAGATACTCTTGCCGGCGATCTAAAACTTCTATGTCGATTACCTTTCTAGAGGAATGTGAAAGATTACAGGTGAGCATTAATTTATTGATTTCTTGGAGTAGGTATACAAAATCGATTACTAACTAAATAAAAATAAATGTTTCGTTGGCACTTATTCCAGAAAAACGAACGACGTACATATAGGTATGTCGTATAGTATTATTCACTTGATGGAACTACGTTAACATGCGTTGACACAGTCAAAGATCTAGACGTTATATTTGACAAAAAACTTTCTTTTAAAAACCACATAGTTGAATGTTTGAATACATTTTTTTTACAGAAACTGCCTCTAATACTGTCTATATTACTCAATAATTCGTTCAAAATTGAAGTATGCAGCGGTATTTTGATATTTCATTCACACAACATGTATTCAATTATTAGAATCTGTTCTAAGAAAATTCTTCAGATTTTTGAAATATTTAATTATAACCTATTAAGAACTAAACGCACTATACATGTAGGATTAAACTAAACTAACCGGTTCTTTAATAAAATAACGATCACTGGTTAAATTAATAATTTTTAAAGTGTTTTTGCGAAATTTTTTAGGGTGGCCGGTTTTTTTTGTCGATCATAGGTATAGTGTTGTTATTACATTGTTATTATATTATTGTTTATTGTTTCTTTATTGTATCCCAGTGTTGTTTGTTGTAATTTTTCATTTCTATGTTATTGTATTTGACATATTTGTGACCATATGTATATCAATGTGTTATAAAATTGACTCGCCAGATTATGTGCAAAATGTATATATAATTGATTCAAATAAATACATTTACATACATACATACATTTACATTCTTGTCTGCTTCAAGGGTACTTATTTTACACATGTTCGAACTGTCGTAAAATAGTGGTAATTCTTTATTTTACTCAATTTCAATTTTTTTATGTACATAAATTTATTTTTTTTATCGATTGAAAATGAAATAACTACCTAAGTGTCGTATATAATTGTAATTGCAGTTTAAATGTTTACCCGAATTCGTTAAAAAATATATGCCTACTATACGTGGCGATTTAAAAAAAATGAAGACTTGCAGTGCTACGCGGTGTTTCCTAAATTAAGCTTCCTCTTATAAGCTAAAAACAATGGCGTTTACAGAATTTCAATATTTCTATCCCTTCTTAAGATATTAGGCCCGGAAAGTTAGCTGAGTCCAATTGTACAGCATTTTCACATGAGATGAACAAGTAAAAGTTTGACATTGTTCCATACCTATTCACTAAAACAATGTCAATGAATTCGACAAAAATTTTAAACGTAAACTGAAAAATTAGCCACTGTTGTCAGAATTATCCTAAACAATTTTTAACTTCCTTGTTATACATATATATTATGAAGTGGAGAAAGCAATGGATAACAAGATACCAAAATAAAAATTATTTTAAATAATGAAAGTCCAATCGATTTCGGATATCCAATACAAAATCGTCAATTAAAATATGGTGAAGTTTCGAAAAAAAAAATATTTTTTTTATTTTATTTTTTCTCTGAGTCATAAACGGTCCTGAACCACGTGTCAGAGTTGGTATTTTTTAATAAACTCTGATGTAATACATTTTTGAAATAAGGTCTTAAGATTTCTAAAGAGGACGAATAAATACATTTTAATTTTAAAATTTTGTAGAAGATCATTATAAATTTTATAGATAACTCGTACGCGTAGTGATTAAAGTTTGGATACACTATTATTCCACAGTTAGAAGAAAATCTTACAGCCCAAATTTTAGGCAAGATTTACTTGTTATAATTTTAGCATGACATGATCAAATTTTCAATGTAAATAGCTTCCCAACAACGTATGGCATGTTTTTGTTTTATTGTAATTAATTATAGTGTATATACTGACAAAGAAAAGATTTAAGTCAATATAAAAATAACTAGTGAAATTTTTACATATTTTATATTTCAATCTACAAATACTTACCTACTAGTAAATTCAGTATACGTACAAAATTAAATTTAACGTCTTTGCGTCTTATAAAATATACAAACTTTTAATAAAATTTCGACGGTGTTCTGATGAATACTTCAACCATTACAATAGATCTATGGCTTCACTTTTTCGTTTATAACATTAAGGTTGCCGATTTAATAAGTAGACACAAAAAATCTTAAACCTGCTCTAATGTAAAAACTGTAGATCAGTAGTCTATTATAAATTTTACACTAATTTTAAAAATCGAAACCCAAAACCTTGAAAAAAAATACAGACATACGTACAAATTATTGTAATTTAGCACAAAGAATTTGAACCTAATTAATTACTCTAAAATAAGAAATGCTGTTCTAAATAGTGCGGCGTATTTCAAGGAACACAAAACTTGAAATCTATTTATAAAAAGTACAAAACGTATTGACTGTAATCTTTTTTAATGTATTTTAATCTTCCATTTAATTCTTGTTGTTTTGTTACTATAATATTTGTAGACACAATCTTGACGAGCATAAATCATCAGACACTCCGCACATGTACCCAGAATTTTTTATAGAAACAGAATTGTTCACACGAAATTATCTAAAAAATTCGACAAAGCACACACATATTATATCCAAGCAAAAAATTCCACTTTTTCCTCTTGTTGCAGGCAAAACTCGGACAAAAGACAAATACCGCGTCGTCTACACCGACCACCAGCGAGTAGAACTGGAAAAAGAATTCTACTACAGCAGATACATCACCATCAGGCGAAAAGCAGAACTCGCAAGCAATCTCGGACTATCAGAACGCCAGGTAAAAATCTGGTTTCAAAATCGCCGTGCTAAGGAGCGCAAACAGGTGAAAAAACGGGAAGAGTTCACCCAAAAAGACAATTCGATGACCATGGGACATATGACACAGCAACAGATCATCCACAGTAACCCGACGCAAATCGGACAGAACATTATGACGTCGCAGATCATGTGACCTTCTTACTTGTGGAAAGAAGACAATCTTCAGTGTTTGTGATGAAGTCGTGGTGTTGTACCCAGTGTTTTTATTTTATTTATTTTGTTCCGAGAGTGTTTACGGTCACCATCACCATGGAGATTTTGTTATGCATTAATCATATTTTTAAGTTTGTTATATCATCCTGTATATAAATGTATAAATTTGTACTTATTATTTACGTGTAGGAGTGCTAGAGTATAGTGTTTTTAATGAGGCTTCAAAGCTGACAAATTTCGAAACAGTATTGAAAATGACTTGAACTCATGCAGGTAGAATGAAACAGGAGAACATAGTTCGAAAAACTGCCCAGTGTCAACTAGTTCCAGTGAGAAAGTAATTGATCCAGTGATTTATTCGAAAGCGTTTACTGCATAAGATGTTTTTATTCCATAATGTATTAAATAGTACGTCGTTTTTACTACATGAACCAATTTTAAACCAAACGTCAGTGGAGGTCTTTTGCCGGCAAATCTTTAACCTTAACAATGAGGTGCGCTCCCTCTTGTCATTCTACCTTCATGTTTGAACTGGATTTGAAAGTTCGGTTGGTCTCTCAGAATCTGCAGGTCTGCGTTTTAGCACGTTTTTTTCATTTTTGCAATGTATAAATCTGTACAAATGTTTATGTGCCTTCTTGTTGCTTCTTCTCTACGGTATTTTGTACATAATTAAGTCTACCTATAAGGTTCTCTTGTTATGTTGCGAACATTAGAAGCAGATTGTAATAATTTATTTTTCGGTAAATACGAATAAATGATTAAAAATAGCTGATGCTTTTAATTTAACTAGTTATTAGTTATCCCTCTTCAAATACGTCCGGTGAAGTGTAAGTAAGGTAAGTTGAAAAAAGTTAGTAAGGATTGTATCGTATGTGTCATGGCCAACTAGAACAGAAATTTACAAAATGAAACTGATGATAAAATTTTAATTTAAAAATGTCTGTTAACACCAGATAAATAATATCTACAAAAATAAGATAATACACTGAAATGTTGAAAATTGAGTACATTGCCCACAAATTTTGAATATTTAGAGTCTGCTGAGTTGATATTGCCACACATTAAAATATTTATAAATTTTTTACTTTCTGTAAATTGATTCTAAAATTTTCCACTTAAATATCTATTAATTACGTATGCAAAACCATAGAGTTATCTCATTTTGGCGATTTTTAATACGAATATATTTTAAATCAGCAAAAGTTAAACAGTTTTATGAACCACTTCGTAAAATATTTTCATTTTCAAGGATACTATGGAAACTACTTATAGAATCTATCATTAATTCAAAAGTAAAGCAGTTTTTAGTTTTTTCAAACGCAATTTTAATGTAGATATATAAAAATTGAAACCTGAAGTTAAATACATCAAGAAATCTTCTATTTTTGTCGTTTAAGATTTTCCTAAATCACTTAAGTCAAAACAAAAATTTAAATATGTATATTTCGACAGAACTTCCCTCCTCATTGAAGCAAAAACATTTCAAAAAATCCAATTTCTTAGATAAATCATAAATTTAATTCTCAAACTTAGTTGGCAGGCAAACGAGATTTTTTTCTGTTTCAAGTGAGAATTTCGTAAGAAAATTTTCTAAATAATTTTTCTAAATTTGTACGTTTTTTGCAATGTACTCGTATGTGTATAATTTGCTTTATAATTTTGAGACATTTGTATAAACAATTATAAAAAATATAGACAATAAATTACAGTAAAGGAGAACGTCGCACTACAAATTTCAAACGTAATGTAGTTTAGAACATTTTAAGGAGTCATCAAACTTTTGAAAAGGATAAACAGAGATGACTTTTAATTTGTACGTGCAAAATTTCAGGTCAGTTGGTTTTGTTGTTTTTAAGTTGAATTGTAAACACAAGTTTAATGCTTAAATGTTTCCAAAAACATGCACGCGTAGATAACGACGTAAAAAAATAATTTTATTAGTACACATTTGCTAACAAAAAAGAACACACTTCAAAATCGACAAATTTATTTTATTTTCCATAAATATGTAAAATACACACTTCTTATGGAAAATTGTTGAACACACTGAAGAAAATAGTTTATTTAAATAAAAATTCGTTCTGATAATAAATAAAAAATCAACAAACTAGTAAGTACACATATTTTTCTAAATAGTTTACAGTTAAATATTAAAGAAACTGTTATTTTACTCAAATTTTATACGATTTTTTACAAAAATTTGTATGTATAAAAACAAACTGGGAAGTTCGAAACGGCTAAAATTTTGTTAACTGAATTGTATTGTAAAGTTTAGTAGAATAAAAATGCTATGTGTTAAAATTCACAGAATAATTGAAAAATATTAGACATTCATGTTTCACGTGACTGTCACACCTTATTAGCTCACTTTTGACACATAGTGGAAAATCATTCTTAATAGATAAAAGTATTTACAGCATTTGTTAAAAATGGATTAAAATTTAACCAATAGGTACAATTCAATAACCAATTATCACAAGCCACCCAAGATGGAACCACCTGACTAGTGAATATCGTTCTACTTGTTAAAAAAAATTCTTCCGAATAATGTTTTCGCACTGTTTTTATTAATAATATACACCGTATATTACGTTGTCAGTTAAGGTTCGAAACGCACAAGAAAAATGTTGAAAAAAATCCATATCTTTCAGTTTTCAAGACACAGGGCTGTAAACAGACCATTTTTGATCACCATTAAGTAAATTTTGACCATTAGATTTTTGCATTTTATTTAGTTAGCACCTTTGAATGATCACAAATTCTTTTGCACTTATTTGTTGTTACTATTTCTTCTATTTTCAGAAAGAGTTTTGGTGTCAATTTTACCTGAAAAATCATCTGACAACATTGCCACCTTTATAGCCGCTTTAATTAAAATCTTCATTGTTAACAGATGTAATTGTATTATACCACTTAAAAAATATTTCTTATTATTATGCAAAAATACATTACAAAAAATTCAATTTTAAAAAGCCTTAAAATAAATCTTCAAAGTTTGACCATTTGCTTGAAGACAGCTATTGACTCTTCCAATTTTATTTCGCTGCCATTGTGATTCTTTCCAAAAATTGTTCTCTGTTTGCTGGAGCAGTGATATAGACCAATTGTTTTGCATATCTCCAAAAGAAATAATCTAATGGATAGAGATCCGGTACTTATACAATTCCTACACTACACGAGTACCTACTAAAATTTAATTGGTATTTTAAAGTTAACCATGGAGGTTGGACCCACAAAACCATAAATCACAAATTCAATGCAATCCTGGATGTTTCTAGCCCACTATACACTGGATTTTGTTGGCGTCATTATCCCCTGCATTGTTCGACAATCCCTCAAAGTAGCGGTTGTAAAATTTTAGTAGGTACTGATGCACTGTAGGAACTGTACCTGTGTAGCGTCGCATGAATTCCCGTCAGGATTCAGATCTTATGTATAGTACTGGAAACTGTAGTTGGCAAACCTAAGTTTTAAAGCCGCCTGTAGGATTACTATAAAAGTATGAACTTCTGTCAAATATTGTTTATTACCCTTCTATTTATGGATAAACTAAAAAAAAACAAATTCGAAATAATATTGTTATTAATTCAATTTTTTAAATACTTATGTGTAATTATATCTAAATACATATACATTTAATGAATTGTAACCCTAAACTTTAAAGGATTTGCAAACGGTCATTACCAAATTGTGTGTTTTAGACAGCGTTTTATCCACCCAAGAATGTAGTTCAAGCGTTTAATTTTCTGAAGTGGATAAAATGTTAGTTAAAACGGTTCATAAAGTGTGAGTTAAAATCCAATTATAAATTGATTCTGGACAAATACTATATTTGTATGTAAGGCTATCAGAATTGAAAACTGGTACTGTCAATTTTTATCTATTTTTTTATAATACTAAATAAAAAATGTTATACCTATCTAAAGTTTTTAAAATTACTGGGATTTAGGTGTAATTAGAAAAAAGTTCTAAAACTGAGGAAGTAGCAGTGAAGGAAACAAAGGAAACAGGAAAAACTAAAAAAAAACTTGTAAAATTTTATTATAAACAATTATTTGAAGGTTGTTTGCCATTTTATGTATGTTTTAAAATACACCTAAAGTATAGTTTGTCTAGAATTATAACAATTTTATGGACTACCAGAGTTCATTCGTTTTACAGCCCTTTTCGAACCGCAGATTTTCCAAGGAATTTGTACCTGCCTGCCAGACTGCCCGGCTCGGGGCGAACTTGGGTGCAGCTATCGGCTTTCCCCTGATAGGCTCTTTAGCTGTAAAATATAATTGACGGCAGGGTTGTAGCCGGACGGGAACTTCGGTTACGGGTTAGGATTAGTGTTAAAGCTAGAAAGGTTGCACTTAACCGTTATAGGACTTTAAGTGCTCCGTTTCAGGTACTCCCCAAACCCAACCTTAATCTCCTAATCCGTTGAGTTATAACTAAAAGCGTCTGTTTGTGGTCAAACTGACAAACTTGAGGACCTACACCTTGGGTCGTGGGTTCGATTCCCGCTCTGCCTTTGGGTGTTTTTGTATGTCATGTCCCCTTTCCTATAATTGGGCCTCTCGGCCTGTTGGAAAGTAATTATAAAAAAAAAAAACGCATTTACACCAAGCCTTATTTAAGGGCGATTTTTAAAAAAGGTTAGCTTTCATTGTTTGCCTCAAAGGAATAAGCAGAACTGGTTCACTAATAAGGAGTATTGGGGGAGTCCGAATTCCACACATGACCTGAAAAAGATAGTAGTTGCGCCCTTTTACGGCCCCAAAAATGTCCGAGTTGCGCCCACTACCTGAATGCTCCTTTACCGCGTTCTTAGACCCTATAATTCAGGTAAGAATTACTCTGCATTGGAAAATCCAGTATTTTGTGACCTCGGTATAGTATATTTCAATTACGTACAGAAATGAACTCTAAAAATAAATTGACGAATGCATAGTTTTACTGAGGTGCCATTCTTACAGTAATATAACTCTA